TACTCCAAGGGTACGGCTACTCGGCTACTCCTTCCTTTGGAAGAAGGGCCTGCGCCCTCAAGTCAGGGCAGAAGAGGCCAAGTTGTTGATGGCGAAGGAAAAGGAAAAGGCCGGAGCAACGGAGGAGTCCTTAATTGAAGACCAGTCCCCAAAGACTTTGGTAATTGGGTTGTTGGCTTCTGGCAGAATGGAGGGAGCATCGTTCCTGTATTCCACCAGGAGTCCCAACTGGGTGGTGTGGCTCGTTTGATCCGGCCGTGGATGTGACAGGGGCACCCCAACGGCACCCTCCATGGATAGCACCCCGACACGGAACTACTGGCAGTTGACGCTTCTCTTCCGGTGTCTTCCGGCCTTTCCTCTTCTGTCTGAAATCAATCGTTTGGTGTCCAGCCATGTTGGCGTTGGAGTCTAGAGACACTTGTCGTGGTTGGTTCAGGTTCCTAAATTGGAATGTCTTGAGGAACTTGAACCAGTGGTCTTCCGTGTGGAATGTCTACCGCCACACCAGTGAGACGGGGCACCCTTGCCGAACGCGGAACGCCATGCTTTTTGGGGACCCAAGACACTAAAACTACATAAAACTACTAAAACGATGTGAGTACCGGAACTGATTCATGACCAGCACCATGGAAAGGATGGTTTGTAGATGTTTGCAGACACCACTGACCTCTGTATTTTACTTCCAATTACCACCCAAATGGAGCCCCCTGACTTGGACCGCCCTGCTATGAGAAAGATGAACAGCATGTTTGGGGTGTATCAATCCTGCTTTTTCGCCACACAGTTTACTGTTGGGGTTCTATCTTAGAAAAAAGAGCTGGCCACACTCACTGGCCGCGCCCCTCAACTCTGTGGCTGGGCTCTGTGGCCAGGCTCTGTGTCCGGGTCTTGTCCTCCTCTTGTCCTGCTGTTGTCCTCTGGCCGCGCTGACCAGCCCTGCCCACACTGACTGGCCGCGCCTCTGAACTCTGTGGCCGGGCTCTGTGGCCGGGTCTTGTCCTCCTCTTGTCCTGCTCTTCTCTTGTCTGCTCTTGTGGCCGAACAAATAGCGATGTCGATGCCGACAAAAATCATTGATGAAGCAGTTTGCTCTTGGCTCCTATCCACTCCATGCCCCTGGCAGGTGAAAAAAGACCTACAGGACTAGTCCATGAAATAGGAGTCTTGTTTTGTGCACCTGGGCCTGGGCTTACTTCTTTGCGCGTCCAAAGCACCAAAGTTGGAAGGTCCCCAGATGTACCATCCACGTGTCACCCAAAACCATGTTCCACGGGTCAAAGACGCGACACCGCCGATGAGACCGTGGATCGCCCGGGTGAAGGGACCGAGCTGTTACCCTCTCAGTGTTGCCCAAACTAAGCTGGCTGTGTTGTTGGAGGCACGCCTCAAGAAGCAGGCAATGCTGGAGGCCAAGAAAGAAGAGGCAGGAGGTGTTTGCGCCTAAGTAGTCGGTGGTGATGCGTTCTTTATCTTCTCTCTCTCTCTCTCTCTCCCTCTCCCTCACACACACACACCTGCCCCATGTGATGAGCGCGAGGAAATGAAGAAGAAGATGGCAATCTTGGAGAAGGAGTGTTTACGTCAAAGCACCTGGACCAGTTGACAAGACAACCGTTTTCTTGCCACCAGCTGGCAAACTACCAGAGGCAGTCACGAGTTCAGCCGTCACTGATATTCGCTGGGTGAGTAAACCGGCAAGCATGTGACTCCGAACCGCTTTTGTGAAGGTTCGGCCACAAGGCGCTGCCAGCTTGGAAGAATTTTCCCCCCTTTGGTTCCCTGGTTCCATTTAATATATGATTTAGATTGTTTTAGCTGTCAGCTTTGGTGCTTGTTGAATTTGTAACATTGTAGCAATTTCTAGTCTAAATGCGCGACGTTATTTTTTCCGAATTGGTTTCGCGCCAATTCGGGACCCTTCTTCGTCTTCAACCCTCTCTGCCGAAATACGGATATCTGATGCGCCACACGTGGCAGCTCGGTCACACGGTCGGCGCTACTTCTCCTTGTGTTCGCGCGGCTGGTCGACTAGGACCTCAACACGTCCGAGAAGCCGAAATACAAGCGCTACTGACGCCGGCGGCTCGGTGGCACTGACGCCGGCGGCTCGGTGGCTACGACGGCCTTCGGTTCGTGTTTCCACCGACCGACCCATACGACGGCCTGGGTCGGGAGGGGATGGGGGAAGGAAAAGCACACGGTCGGGTTTGGACCCGAGGGGCTTCCCCACTGCAAAAGCTACGTTGGAGAAGATGACGTGATTTGGTCATTCATATTTGACATGCTTAATTTCCGAAAGCTAACTTGTACGAATGGTTTTTGTCAACAGAAAATTGGATAGAAATCCGAACCAAGAATTGCCCTACAACCATGATGATTGATACCTTTCTATGCATTCTTTCCGAGGTGCACATTTTCGGGTAAATCGATGATTTTTGGATAAAAAGAACACACACATATATACATATATATATATATATGTAATAAGACAAATATTAGTAATACTAATAATAGTAATAGTAATAGTAATCATAATAGTAGTAATAATAAGCAATCGATATATGGAAAATATATGATTGTTCGTGAGCAACTAGCAGTGTAGATTAGAGTGCATACCATTGACTTTTTCACCCGCAGCCCGCTCTTGGATTGAGAAGAAAAAGTTCGTTTGGTAGCGGAGCAGGGATAAGGGTAACCCTTTGCTCCAGAGAAAAGCCCCTAGGTCACAGGGATCCCGGGTGCGTTTGAGCTATAGATTTGGGCCCTTTGGAACCCAAAACTACTGACCTGTTGACAAGCAGCTGTAAATGGCACTTTGTACACTGTGCATTGTGTGAGTTTGACAATGTTGTTTTGGGACCATGGAAGAGATAAGAGAAACCCTAGAGTCTTAGAACAAGCAGCAGCAACAGAAGCAGAGGCAATGAAGAAAGCGGTTTAAGACAAGAAAGCGAACGCAACAGATTTGTCAAAGCTGATCACAAAACCTGGCTTTTTTGAACATAAGTCACTTGAAGAGGAACTTAAAGCGTTCAGAGAGTGGTCATGGGTACTTGAAATATTTCAGTTCAGTGGATGAGGCCTACGTGAAAGACTTGAAAGAGACTCATGACAGGCCAAATGACAGCTTCGATATGGACTTAGCAGAGAAAGAAGAGAAAGCCAGGTGTATCAAGTTGTATGGTTTGCTAGCTTCGTTGATGAGGGGTAGAGCACTACAGTTGGTTGAGCTGTGGAGGACTCTAATGGGTTTGATGCCTGGAGGAGTTTAAACAGAGCTTTGAAACCCACGTCAAAAGCCAGAGGATCAGCGCTTTTGGGAGCAGCTACTACATGGCCAGATGGATATGAATAATGGGACCGTTCTCAACACAAGTGGGCTTTTCAATGGTTGCAAGTAGCAGTACAGATTACCAACAACACAAGTGGGCTACTTCAATGGTTGTAAGTAGCAGTACAGATTACCAAGAATCCATGCCTGTGGACGTTGATAGAGTTCAAGATGTCAAAGGAAAAGGCAAGAAAGGTAACCATTGGGCAAAGTTAACGATGCCAAAGGAAAAGGAAAGAAAGGAAAAGGAGAACAGCAGAAACGAAAGGAAAATAATTATAAGGGCAAAGGCAAAAGCCAAGACCAGGTGTGGCGACTTATTTAAGGGGCTACTGACTTTAGAGCGGCCGCGGGCGGAGGGAAGAGCGCGGGGGTTCGGTTCCTGCTAAGCCTAGACCCTGCTACATGCGCCTGAGGTTTTTCCTCACTGAAATTTCAATCTCGACCATTTCTGACAACTACCTTTTTTTCCATCGAAGCATTAGAAACTAATACAACAACCTATTCGTATTAGACAATTTTAGCCTTGGAAGCTCTAGGCTCCGCCTGGTCCGCGCGCGCGCTCGCGTCCCCTGGCGCCTTATTTTCGCTTGGAGGGGGGCGCGCGCGCGGGACCATTATACAAGCTTAGGGTTGCCTCGTCTTCCGCACTAGATCTAGGGGGTGCGTAGGGGGGAGTCGAATCCGGGACCCTAGCCTGGACACCGCCTGTACCGCGCAAAAAAAAAACGGCCTCCGCTCCTTTTCTAACATGACCACTGTCCAAAATTTGTCAACAAATGTCATTTTTTCGCAAAGCGCTGGTTGGCGGACAAGCCCACCTATACCTATACCGAAGTATTCTTAGGAACACGCCGTCCCCGTTCCGCTTACGCTTACGTTCTCGGTACTAGAACGGGGTCGGCGGATTACACTTCTAGGAAGCCCGGACATCTTGCTCGAAACTGGAGAAACAATATTCGACAGGTTGCAAGTGATACAGCCCATTTTCTTCAGGAGGAGCTTCAGTGACAACACATACAGTTGCTTAACAACAAGCTACAGTGACTCAACAGAGTAGTTCAGCCGAGACCAAATCAGTTGTCAGAAGGGTCGAGAACACTGAACCAATCATCTTCGACCCGCAAGAGAGACATGACGATTCATAATCTCAGGGAATTCGGGTCATTCACTTCTACATTGGAGATGACGATGATGAGGCATGGAAGGGAGGAGAAAACCTTTTCGAACATTTTGAGGAGGTTGAGAACGAGAAACCCAAGGTGAGGAGATTTGGAGAAGAGAGAGAAAATGTGGCCATCATTATCGACAGTGGAACTGGTGCAGCTTGATTCCCTTCGTACATGGCAGATCGCGGAGAAGGAGAATTAGAGTTCTATGCAGCCACCAAACTACAAGATGCCCAGAGGAATCGTATCCCCACCGGGGGGTGCGAAGAGTGTCGAAATCTCCTTGCGTGACGTTAATGGACATGAAGCTCTTCTCAATTAGAATGTGAATCAGCCCATACTGTTTTTTCGAGATTGATGGAGCATGGTTGGGGAATCAATGGTCGAGAGTAGACATTTCGAGAATGGTGATTTGAAGTTACTACTTCATTTGCAAAATCGCTCTTTGACAGTCTAAGGCCGCACTAGAGTCATTCGAGATAAAGACGAAAGCTGCTTGGAGGTTCAAGTTCCTGAAGCTTTGGAAAAAGCTATAGGTTGGAAATTCAATGAAATGGCTTGCTCGTTGGAAACTTATTGACTTCAAGATTTGTCGATCCCACTTTCCTTCCAGAAGAGGAAGATTCGCTAGAACTGATGAGAACCACTTTGGTGAAGGGAGGAACTTGATGAGCAATTCTTTGATGAGGGTGCCGTCATTCCTTCAAACCCAATTTCTAGCTATGAAACTTAAAAGTAGAGATGAAAGAAATGAAAAAGGCAATCGAAGAAATTATCCCTACTCCACCGGAAAAGACGATCGAAGACTAGAAAGAACAAATAAGAAAGAAGAAGACTTAGAGTGTGAATTGCAATTGAGCCCAATGGATATATACAAAATCTTGGTGAATGGAATAGAATTAATTAAGGATTCGACTTGGAAATATTGAGGGTAGTATGCTTATTTCTTAGCGTTCTAGGTGGCGGCCCTAAGTTGAGGGTATATATTAAAATCTTCAATAATAACAAGAAGATGGAACTTTTTGAATGTTATGAATTTGGTAAGTGAAGCAAAAATTTAGGAAACGAAAGAAATTCTAGGATTGAATATGATTAAAATGCAAAATTAAGCAAGGTATAATTTGATGCATTTAATATATATTAATTGGTATAAGGAACGCGTTTAATATCGAATATATTTAGATCGTCGTGAAAGAATAGATGACATTAAAAAAGGAAACCTTTTTAAGGTAAATATTAGAAACTAATTTAGCAAGAATAAAATTTGTTTAAATATTTGGTAATTTACGAAGATTTTAATGTTTATATATGGGAATATTAAAATATTTGGGAGGTGGAATTATTGCGATTTAGGACAATAGAATAAATAGATAGATATGTTTTGAAAATATATAATGTTGAAATTTAAAGATAAAGATATTGATATGATAATGATAAACATTTATGAAGGATGGTGATTATTTTTGTTAGAATTAAATTCGATTTTCGTAAAAGAAATGATAACGAAATGAATAATCGTTTATTCGTATATTAATTTGTATTGGTAATATATTTTTGTTATTATTTATTTTTTTCGTATTTTTTTTATTTAATGGGTTTGTTTTTTTAAAGGTATGTAATTTATGTAGGATTGGAATGGTCGATTTAATATATTTTATAATTAAACATACCGGTCCGGCAATTTAAAAAAAATATTTAAATGAAAATTAAAAAGCTATTATATTAGAGGGGAATGGTTATTAATTAATTCTTTGTGTTTATGCGGTTAATTCTTAAGCACAAAAGGAAAAGGAAAGATTAACCATTCTAGGAAATTAATAATCGTCGTGTTTGATTGGATGCTTTCTTGGATTTGGGGCCTTATGTTTTTGGTTTGGCGCTTGACCGTATATTAGCGAATTATTTTTTGAATTTAACCGCTAATTGAGGAAGATCTAATATTCTCGTCTTTTATTGATTTTTTCTTTCTTTAATTAGGGATTATAAATATATTCTTAAATATTCTTATCTATTAATTAATTTATTATCTGTATTTATTTATTTATTTTTATTTTTTTATGAGATTTTAATAGGAATTTATTTTCTATAATATATATTAATTCTAAAAATATAAGGATTTTATATTTTAGGATTCTTCTTTAATATTAATTTTTCTTGATGACAATTTTAATTTATTTGTGAACGATGATTTTTTGTTTATTTTTTTTTATTTCTAGGATATTGTATTATATAATAACAACCTCATGGTCACCATCATCTCTTTAATTAGGATTATATATTTTCTAATCTATTGAATTATAGGCAATATATGATTATTAAAATATTTCCGATTTAATATTGATATATATATTTATACTTAAAAATACAGGAATATATATTAATATATTGATATTTTTATACCAACAATATATTAATAATGTTTCATTATTAAAAAGAAATTTAATTGAAATTCCATGTAAAAATAATATTTTTAAATTCATATTTTATAATATATATATTTGGAAAACATATATTATATTAAAAATAGATTAATACAAAAATTATAAGATTATAAATTATTTATTATTCATTTCCGGTAGGGTAGCTCTGCCCGTGTTGGGCATCGATCCGTAGATCGGCTGCGTCTTGCACATCCATTGCCCCCGGGCGGCATCGAAATGATGGCTCTTGGCTAGTGGGAAAAGGCACAAAAGGATTGCAATGGATCAGGGACTTCCAGGCACTTGTGAGATGGCCACTGTCAACAAGCCAAAGAAGGTACAAGTCCTGCTCCAAGTCAGGTGTGTATGCACAAGGAAGTGCTCTGCTCCAGTCATCGGTCAAAAACCTGCTTCCTCCGGTGCGGAGGCAGGCCTGGTAGTGGCCAGAGTGGGATTCACTGCCTCGGTGAACCACGACAGAAACTATCTCAAAATATTTCCATCGAACTGTCCGGTTATGTT